TTAATAAAGTAAGATCCTGCTTTATACCTACCTTCTATTTCTTCATCATCATGACCTAATTTGCATAATAGGCAGATGTAGTAGTCTCTACAAGACCCTGCTCTGCATGATGTCTCATCAATAATGCCATAATAATCGAAATTTTCGCTACTGAATTCTCTATATAAGTTTGGATATTGATCCAATGTTTTGTTGCGAAAATAGGATCAGTCATAAGTTGGATTAGTTATAAGTATTTGTGGATGAGAATTGTTTATCTCAGCCTTAATTAGATCGTTCCCTTGGGGAACGGTGTTCAAAGTCACATGACTCTGATGATCACTAGTAATTATTTTTACTTGATCTATAACATTTTGGATTTGTGAATTAGTTAGTTTTAAAATCTCAGTTGTGCTATATGAGACCAGCTTGATTTTGTCTACCCCAACTCCATTTTTTCCAAATAACATGAAGTGTTTTCTAGCCCTAAGAGTTTTCTTGTGCAAGTTATCTTGTGTGATTTTAGTAGGAAGAAATGTTTTCATCTTTTTGTAAATCATTGATCTTGCTGTTTTATCTTTGATTCTACCATCAGTAGTAAGTACATCTACCTTGCTCTCGAATTTGAGGGAATAATTGTACCAGTCTAAGATTTCCTGCTGACCAGACTTTATTGCTGTATCAAATAGATAAGACAAGTGTTGAGCAAAACCTGAAATCATATTCTCTGATCCATTGCAAGAGGAATTAGTATCGGTAGAGCTGATATTGTCTTTAGTAGATATGGATGAACAGGTGCCAAAGGTACCACACAGCTCTTGTATTAGACCCTGTTCTACGATTTGATTTCTATCTAGTGATTCCTCCAGAATCAGCTCATCATTATTTTGCTTTATGAGGTCTGGTTCAACTGAAGTCACATGACTCTGATCGTTCCCTGAGGGAACGGTTTTTTCGAACTCTTCCGAAATTTCCGAAATTATCTGATCATCTTTTTCAGTGATGCAAGATGAGCTGGAAATCAACAGGTCCTGAGCAATTGATTCATGCTGAAGTTTCTCATCTCGCTTTCTCTGCCTTATCTCATCACTAACCTTTTTCTTATTCGCATTATCTAAGAAAGTATTCACTCCCCTTTCCTCCGATGTCTTAGAGTTGACAGTTACCTTTGATACTGCTTCATTTATTTTACAAATAGGCTCAGGTATGTCAACAGATTCTTCAGAAGAGAAATCATCTGTTTTCTTATCCTCTGCATTAGAATTAAAGTTAGATAAATCATTGTTAGGAGAATTATCATTTTGCAACTGTTTCTGTTCCACTTTCGTGACTCGATCTCTAAGCTCAACATTCTCAGACACGAGTTTAGCAGTATCTGTCTTATTTTTTTCTAACTCCTCAATTCTAACCCTGAGCTCTTCGTTCTCAGCTTTGTATTTGGTGGTCTCTTCTATAACCCGCTTTAGAAGCTCAGAGTTCTTGGCTTCGAGCTCAGCTTTCTCAGCTTCAAGCTCAGTAATACGTTGCCTCAATAAATCCATTTTGGATTGCTTGTCTGCGTAATATATTATTTATGCTCTGTATAATTAATATTCAAAATTGGTAAAAATATATAGGTTATTTTGATCGTTCCCTCAGGGAACGGTTTTTTGCCAAGAAAAAAATCTCGAAGAAAAAATGAAGAGACAGACGCTGTGCATGGATCAGCAAATTCTTCTGAGCCTGGTCCTAAAGGGATCGCTAATGATCACTGCTCTGAATCAGCCTAAATCGGGTGGACGAACAAACTTCGGTGGAAGCTTGTGTATCTGATATATGACCTGTTTGTTTAACCAATCTTCGATCTCTGCAAGAGTAAACTTATAGCCGATCTTCTTACAAGCATCCCGCATTTTTTCGGCAGACTGATAATAACCTTTTGGCTGGTAATACAGCTTATGGAATATGAGATCTCAATATATAAGTTGCTCTCTTTTGGGTCTTTTAATCAATTCGAGACTGACTTCTTTTTTCCATGTTTCATTTATGCTATTACAATTATAGAGATCCTGTATCGATAAATTCTTTAGGATAAATAGTATTAATTCAGGCGCAAGCTGATCAAGTAAATTAGCTATATACATTTTATATAGTTAGAAGATTTTTTCAATCGAAAAATAAGGTTATTGTCACACAATCTGTGGTTTAGCAAAAAATCTTTCAAGCTAATAATCACTATCCCGGGTTGATGATCAGTATTCTGGACTCGGCCCTTAGCCATTAAGGCGCTTTGCTAGGCACTTCGCTAAATTTTTCACATTAAATATATTACTTTATTATAGCAATCATGACAAATAATCCCGAAACGCTTAATCAATTTTATGAAGTGCTATTATATAAGAAGAAGGATATAATAGCTATTCAGGAAAAACTCGGTATTAGTGGTAATGCAAATAAATTAGTAATGCCTCCAGATTCCGAGCTCATGGGGAAAACACTTGCTGATTCATATGAACTGTTGTTAGAATTGGTAGGGGATTTAATGCCGATACAGGAGAATCTCAACATTGATGGTAATCCTGTTCTAGAAGT